AGAGAGAGAGAGAGAGAATCGTGCGTAAAAATACATGGAAATTTTTAACTTATGACTAAATAAATTTATGACTAAATAAATATCAGTTATTCGTCAGCATGCAAGATTGTAACTTATGCTCGTTACAATCTTTCTATAACATGTAACATATAAAATATAAAATATACGCAAGTAAAAGTTTTTTATTTTATTTATTATTTAATTGGTTTTTACAATTAACGCAATTAATTGAATAATATAAAAACATAAATGTGTGTTATGATCCTGAAAAAATTGCTAAATGATAATAATGAAACATAGACGTTATTATTCAAAAGAAACAAATGTTCTAATGTTATTTGGTATAGTAATAAAAAATAAATAATAAACTAAAAGTTTAATTTGTATATAAAAATATAATATATATATTGTATTTTTCGTAATATATAACTTATTAATTCGTAAAGAAATAATTTCTTTTTTAATGGCTTTGTATACATTTAGAAAACTGGTAAAATAATTTATTAATAATAGATTTATGTGCCTTATTATCCATGTAACTCTGCAAAGTACTTGTTAATAGTACACAAAGTACTTGTTAATATTACACAAGTACTTGTGTAATATTAATAGCCCTATAACTATAAACCTACCACAAGTACTTGTGTAATATTAATACATTTCTTTTTTCGTAAATTAAAAAAAAGATCATATGAAAATGATCAAATAAGTTATTTCTTGTTTCAATGTTAATCTTTGTGTGAAATTCCATTAAATTTTATAAATAAATGTTTTAGATGAAAGAGTAGAAATTAATATACAACACGATGACTTTGATATTGAAGCCAGAATAGCTTTAATACACAACACAGATCAGTACCATAACATCAAGGAAGTAATTATAGCAAGACACAAAGACGCAGAGAAAGCGAAGCCTTTAAAAGCATTATTTACATAAACGACGCACTTTCTATACAGATTTCGTACGAAGAATTTACATATTTGTACATAGTACAAAATTGATTAATATCTTTTTGCTATAATTAAAACCTCTTTGAACATATATTAATAAAAAAATGCCGGAATTTCGCTCATACAAAAACTTCTTTCTATAATGTTAATGAAGACTTGTAATGCTCAGTTTTTTTAATGCCGATAATAATTTATTCTGAAGAATGAAATGCGAATTAAAAAATCATGTATAATTAATATTAAAACAGTTACATTAATATTAAAATACTTGAATATTGCACGATAGCGTTTTCCTTCTCTAATCGTATCATAATATTGTTAAGAAATGAAAGTCTGAAGATGACGTGAAAGACGATTCTTCTCTTTTCTTCTCTCTCATTTTCTATATATATTAACTTATACCTTTAATTTTACTTAATAATTTACTTAATAATTACGATAATTCTTTTATAAAGCTTATTATTCTTAATAATCTTGCAGATTAAAAATTATTTCTCAATTAATTGTCTCCTTAAGTAAATTATCCCTAACTTTCTATTTATTTCATAATCGGTGATCATTTCTCGACTGGCTCTATTCATATTTCTTCTTAAAAGAAATCTTCAAAGAAATCAGACTAGATGAATAAAACATCTTACCATCTTCGCCGGCCGGAAGTTTCGCCCTGACAGCATCCAAACAAGCACGCAAACTGTCCTCCCTCGTCGGGTCCAGCTCCAATGGCACGATTTGACCGCGGGCACGTGTGGCTTCCGGTTGCTGCGGGTCGCCGCCAGATTCGCCCTCTTTCTGCCGCTCTAGCTCGATTGCCTTCAGGATTTTGACCGACGGCGAACTGCCCGTCGGGTCCAGCAGACCCGCGAACACCTGTCGCAGGAGGAACACGACACGTTGTACGTTATGTTTTTGAAAGACCACCGCCGTCACAAGCCCACGTTCCACATGCCACTCTGTTACACACCATATTGACACCGCTCAATACCGCGCGATATGCTTTGACGTTGATACATCATGTTAAATGACACACAAGCTTGATTGTGACTAATGATCTGGATCTTAAACAAGGAAAGAAAAATTAATAATTCTTCTTTCTGGTCTTACTTTCAATTCCAAAAGAGAAATTAATGAAAGTGTGATTTTATAATTGCTGTTAAACATGAAGTTAATAAATTAAATTCAATTATGTTTTATTAAATGTAAATATCTTTTACGTCAGAAAGTTAAATAAAATAAGTTTTAATTCTTGTTATTTTGAATTAATTTAAATTTTTATTTAAAATTATTTAATGTTAATATTGATATAAAGTATTAAAATTGTTTCGTTTATTCTACATATCTTCAAAAAATTTCAACTTTCAAATAATTTCGAATTTAGCATTTTGAGATACATTTTTATTTTTATCGAATTATTGACTACTAATTGTAAGTTTAATTATGCGTTTAACGATATTTATGTAAATCGGTAGTAATCCTTTGTGTGCCTCTTGGTATGCGAAAGGTAATAGCTAATCCAAAGTTCGAATTTCAGACACGTAGAATAATCGCAATTGGAATCTGTACGCAAACGACCTATATCAATTTTACTTTTGTATGAAAATTTCATCCTTTAATTCAATTACTTACAAAGTACTTAAAGAATATGCAAATGACGTAAGCTGATTGACTACGAATATTGCTAATTAGCAAAGGCAAACGAGATTTCAGTGTTAAATACCAAAAGATTACCATAGAAAATACCATAGATTTAAATATCAAAAGACGCAGCATGTTATTAGGCGACAAAAGTAACTTTACCGGTGAATTTTCGAGAAACGATTACGTTAAGCTGAAGGAGCGTAGTTTACAAGAGGGATGAAATTATTTCAATCACGGGAGAACTTTTAGAGAACTAATAAACGTAATGTTGTTATATAATTCGCGCCTATCGCAAGGAAGATCTCGCAAGATCAACGTGAAGGACATTTCGCGGAAATTATTACTCGGGTAGAATTTGACTTTGCCGAAGTATCTATCTTTCAGTGGCAATCTTTGGCGAAGCGACTCTTGAGTGGTGACACGATATACTCAGCGGGACCGGGTGGATACGTGAATACCTGTCGAGAGACTGTCGGCAGGACTGATTTAAGGGCTCACCGATGTTCCGCTCCCTTGACACGAGGAAACTAATTTGGAGCCCGGACTCCGACAATCTGAAATATGTTGCACGCTCGAAGGGATAATGGGGATTCTGACGTAAGGCCGCGGGATATTGCGTTTCAACGTTTGTCGTCATGTTGCACGACTTCAACCGCTTAGATTCTCGCAAAATCGTCGGAAAGAGTGAATATACGATGAGTCTGACGTTTATCCATTTTAACACCAGGCGGATCCAAAACTGGCTGACAGCTATTCGCGAAAGCCACTCTTCCCGCGAGATAAAAGAAAACGTGAAGACGACAAATATAAATGTTCTTCTCGCGGTACGTGCAGTTTCCCACGATAAATTGGAGATTTATAAAAATGCAATTGTGATTGATTAGGAAGTAATCGTAATAATCACCTCGATCCAATTCCAACGATAATCACGAATCGCAAGAAACGGAGAAACGGCTCGATGCCGGCGATAACGCAAGACACGTCGGCGGTCGCTTATTCCGCATTTCCGATAATCGTCAGCGTAGCAACAAAAAGTTTCAGCACAATTCCCACGCAATAAACCGCCGAGCCGTTACTTCGCAGCCTTCAGCGTTTCAATGTGGCTCTCTCGCGGTTCTCAATTTTGAATATTCACCGAGCCGCAGAGAATATTGGCGGTTGGCAGCGTAACGTATGAGGCGAACGTACGGTGAAGTTTATGCCGCCGTTAATTTATGGCGGTACACGCATACCCCTTGTGGCTGTTATTACCTTGTAACCGGCTTCGTAGAGTGCAAGGGCGATCTGCAAGCCTACGCATGTATCACAGCTGGTAACGAGTACGTGACGTTTGTTGCGCGACTCGTACTCGTCGGCAGCATTCCTGGACTGTCGCATCAGATAGGCCAACAAGGCTGCGACTATCGAGCACAGAGCCAATATCTGTAGGGCCAAAATGGCCCCGGTTTCGACATCCATTGTGACCGGCTCGCGCAGCGGAACTCTATGAAATAAAAGAGACAATCGTTAATATCGTTGAGAGACAAATCCATTTTTTATTGAATCTCGGGACATCATCGTGACAACGATTTAGAGAACAGGCGAAATTCGTCGTTGTTTCCTATTTTTCATTTCATACATTTTTTTCTTTTTGATAAATATAAAATTTCCAAAGATAATTATTATATACATATATCTTTGTTTTTAAAAATATTACATATTTCATGAAAAAAAAACATTTTCTATAAATCCAGATTTATAATCCAGATAATTTTGTTTTAATAAATTAAATTATCGGAATATTACGATAATATTTATTAAAACTTTAATGGATAATATTTATTAATTTGAAAATTAATAAACATTTTCCATTAAATTCAAAATGTCTTATTTGTCTGTAATTACAAAATAAGATAAACAAAAATATATATATAAAATTCTGAATAACAAAAATAATGAACATAAAAATCGACTTCTCGTTATTTTCTTTTTTTTGTTCTCTTTTTATTAACAATGACATTAAATCTCAAAATAGTTGCATTCAAATCACAATCTCCAAAAAATTCATCACAACTTTAAATATAGGAACGCTAAAAACAACTCGTGAAAAATTGAGTTTTTGTTTTAACAAGTAAAGGCTCTCTCAGGTAGAAGAGTCAAGGAGAATCCGAGAAGTGCAGCCGGAGAGGAATTGGTTCCTCCGGTGAAAAGTGAACGGCGCGCGAGGCGGGGTCGCTTTTGCCGAGAGAGGAATCACTTGCCTTTCTAAACTGTATCTAGACTCGGGCTAGTACTGGGTCGATCACCGATTTTCCGCGATCATTCCACGATCGAGTCGCGCGGGAGACTCGCGATTCCCCAAGTGGAATCGCGAGCGACACGCGGCGGGAATTTGACGATCGCTGAAAATCGCACGCGTGCACTTCGTTCTTCTCGCTCGACTGACTTAATAGCGGCGGAACCATGTACCGCTAATGTGCCGAATCGATTAAGCCGCCCGAGCCCGTATTTCATCGATCGTACGGAGGGACATTTCTCCGAGCGACGGTGCGAAATGCTTCCTCGCGAGGTGTGCGCTTTCTCGCCGATCGGTGTCTATAACGGCGGCACATCGAGCATCGCCTTCGCGCGATACCCCCGCACCGTGAATCGAAGGATTAATGTGCGCGAATAATACAATGTCGGCGAGAGAGGCGAACTTCATCGATCGCGCGCAGCTCCGGAGCAAGATTCGATGCGTGATTCGTACGAATTTCTCTCGGAAAGTCAGATATATTTCCTTTCTCTTCTCC